GAAGACAGCTGAGAAGTGCCTAGCTCATGGTGAAGCGCTTCCAACAGAAACTGCCCGTGATTTTTGTACGAAAGGTGAAGAATTTGGGGGAGTGTATTAGGAGCCGAATCAGCTCCGCCTGCTGTCTGGACCGGACCGGCGTCAAAGTCTTCTTGAAAGAGTAAGTCGAAGTCTGGGTCGCCATGGAGAGCACTACGGCGGAATTCGGACAAGGATTCGGTGTAGTTGAAGATTTCAGATTCGAAAAGAGCCTTGTAAGCCTCAGCTGCTTGCGCGAAGGAGCGAGGTCCCTCGGAATGATATTTGAGGGCCGTTTGGTAGAGCTTCAGGGCTTCCTCGATCTGGATTTCCTTGGTGTCGTCGATTTCATCGTCAGACTCGATGTCTGATTCAATGTTGAGCGCTTTGAAGGATGACTACATGGCGTTACGCGTCAGTTGAAGCTTCGCATGCAAATTGGGAGGGGAAGACTTGCCATGGTGCGCGCCCACGATCCAAACCGGAGGCTGGACGTGGAGTTGGTTGGTGGACGTGTTCCTGAGTGGACCTGGGCTGGAGCGATGATGCGCGGCTCCGCGTCGGCGTCAGGGCCCGTGCGCCTTGCGGGCTGGGGGCTCCAGGTCACGGTTGGAGCTGCGCGGCGACCTTCAACAGCAATGCGCCTTTGCTCTCCATCTCGTCTGCCCAGCTCCGCCGACAATTAATGCCGCTGGTATAGCATCGTCCAAAGTCACGATTCTGCCCCACAGCCATGGTTCCCCAGCCAGCGGTCCCCGAGTAGGTCAAACCCCGTTTACTGGCCAGCTTTCCAACCCCCGCCAGTCAGCACATCTCGCGCATGCATCGCATGCTGCCGTCACTCGAATTGGTCTTGCCAGTGAAGGCTTCCCGTCCTTTACTGCTGTCAAGGCCAACATCATTGACGTCTTCAATTGCGACCAACATGCTGACGTGTCTTCTCTCAGGATCTATGAAGACGACATACAATCTGTCGTTGATCTCCGCACAGAAAGCTTGCAGACCCTGCGTGAATTGGGTCCTCCTGACTTGGTACACCTGGTCAAACAGCAAAAGGGGTCCGCAAACAAGGTCCGTCGAAGAAATCTCCCATCAGGCGCAAATCGCGCATTGATAAGGCAGCCGGGCTAACGTATACCAGGTTGGAGTATACCACCACATTACCGGCGTCGATGCCTCCTCGTCCGCAAGTCTTGCAGCTTACATCAACACCCTAACCTACACTCCAAATGACAAAACCCACAAGGTCGTCTCTGGGCTATACTGGTAAAGCGTCACCAAAGCAGATCTACGCGGATCCTAGCTGACGGAACAAGCTGTTACAATGCCTTTTCACGGCTGGACATGCGTGTTCAGGTAGCCATTCCAGGGACTGTGGAGAGCTACTGCATTGACGAACGGGGAGAGAAGCGCGTTGCTTCGGACGAGCTGTGGCTCGAGACGTATCTTTGCAGCGTGCTACGGGCATACTCGTACGCAGATGACGGCTCGGGCGATCAGATCAAGAAAATCATCGGAGTCAGAAGATTCAACCCCATCACCAGCACCGAGGCCGAGCACAAGTTTTTGGATGCCGCTGAGCGGCTCTTCTTCAATGGTCTGCCCCTTTCCCGATTGGTCGCGCTACTACTCTGACACATTCCAGGCTGGCAACTCGGTTCCGATCCAGAAATCCAGGTCCCAAACCTCGTGTCCAATCACTTGACCACCGGTCTTCTCAACTACATCCATACCAGCGGTCGCTACGCGTCAGGGATCAACCTGTTCGAAAAACTCCGCTCCCGAGACCCGGAGATTTCGTCACTGCTCGCCCGAGTCTACATCTCGGCTGACGAAGAAGTCAAGGCCGTTCAGCTGTTGCATGATACAATCCAGGAGCTTCCCATGGACTACTCTCTCCTGGACTGCCAGGCTGATTTCCTCAACAAGAAGGGACGTGCGGACATGGCGCTAGAGATTGCCAAGAGGAGTGTTGTGTCTGCGCCCAGCGAGTTCAGCACTTGGGCTAGATTGGCCGAGATTTATGTCAGCCTGGAGCAGTGGGACCTTGCCCTTTTGACCCTCAACTCCTGCCCCATGTTCACTTATCAAGACAAAGACGCACCTCGCATACCGGAGCCGTTCAAGATAAACCTTCCTCTCATGCCCGAGAGTGTGTGTGACGAAATTGACGACAGCACCGGTCCCAACGACGTCGACGCAGTTCATCCGACCTTGAAGAAACTTCACGCCGCAGGATTTAGAGGTACTTTCTTGAAGGCTTACATGCTTCTGACCAAGGTTACCAAAAAAATCGGATGGGACCAACTGCTGAGGATTCGAAGCCAAGTTTTTGTCATGGAGGAGGAATATCGACACGAGAAGCAGGCAGTGACGCAACAACCGCAGCCCCCTCCAAGCCGAAACGCCAGCACCAGCGCGATACGATCACCGAGCCCGCAGACCAATGGCCATGGCGACGGAGAAAATGGGGAGCCTACAACAGACGGAGAGGCCAAGAGCGACGCAAATGAGGCCGGTGATTCGTTGGAGAAGCCCTCCAACACTGTTGCTTCGGAGGAAGTAAAGGCCGGGAGTGACGAGCCTGATCCTTCCCACAACCAGTACACGCAGTTCCACAACAAGCGTCTCTGCGAGCGCTGGCTTGATAACCTCTTCATGGTTCTCTACGAAGACTTGCGCGTGTACACCATCTGGAGGACAGAGATGGCGCAGTACCGGCAGCAGCAATTGCTGTACAAGAAGAACCCCGAGGAGTGGGAGATCCTCGGCGAGCTCGCGGAGAGACTGCATCACGATGATGAGGCTGTGGAGGCCTACCAGGCGTGCCTTAGTATCAAGTTTTCGCCAAAGGCCATGCGCGGTCTGCTCAAATTATACGAGCAACAGGGTAACGTGAGAATGATGCTTGGAGCTCTCATCCGCCTTGTCTGCTGGCAGTATAGGTGGTACTCTGAGGTAAGTTTTTCAACTTTGCAACATGCGCTTAGCTTTCTAACATGACAATAGTTTTCCCCGTCTCTGCTCTTCATGATCCGCAGGCTTATAGAAGAGGAGGGAACCTTGAAGGTCCGGAGTATTATTCAAGGAACGAGCCTCCCGCAACACGTGCTGGAGCTCACGCATCAATACACAAACCTCGTTGCGAACTTCCGCAATCCGGGTTCTGAGTAACGACCTACAATTCTGTCCACGCCTGGCAAACGTCATTTCTTGACTTCCAAGAAAAGGGAGAAAAGCCTAGTGCTCTGAGACTTTATTTATGTGGTGAGTGGTTAGACATTGGACCAAGAAGGGGGAAAAGATACCTTTGCATTGATAATGAGGGCCTCTTCACGGGAACGACGCCGAACATGAATTTGTGCTATTGCTCCATTTGGTCTTGTCGACGGGAATGGGGAGGTGTATTGCAATTGACTGGAACGATGAATGTACTGTAGAGGAAAGCGGAATAATTAAAAAGTGAGTTTTGCACCAAATGCTACTGCCTTCGTTCGTTCAAGGCTCCTTGATGACACAAGTGGGTCAGGGCAGCTCTTGGCGGGGATCCCGGCGGGCACGGTGCTCTGCGCACTTGCCTTCGTGCCGAGCTACCCTTGTCAACACCACCTGGCTTCATCATTTCCACGACGTTGACGGCCACGGCGGCCGAACAAAAACGACGCACCTGTCGACCAAAAAGCCTGCCTGTCCAGCAGCTACGCACGCCTCCTCGCGAAGTTTCTCTGCGCCCAACGTCGCCCAATCAATTTCCCAATCGCAACGAAGGCGCGCATACCACCCTCAGCGACAACACAACACACCACCCAACGCGACGACATTCGCCCAGCAGGCCCACGATGCTCAACGACCTCCTCGGGCCGCTCGGGTCGCTGCAACCGCGGCAGATCGCGGCGCAAATCCTCAACTTCGCGCTGGTGCTCAGCACGGCGTTTATGCTGTGGAAGGGCCTGTCGGTGGCGACCAACTCGCCGTCGCCGATCGTCGTGGTGCTGTCGGGCAGCATGGAGCCGGCGTTCCAGCGCGGCGACTTGCTGTTCCTGTGGAACCGGGCCATGGACACGCGGATTGGCGAGGTCGTCGTGTATAATGTGCGCGGCAAGGACATTCCGATTGTGCATCGCGTCGTGAGGAGGTTTGGAGGAGGGTGAGTTTGCCCACTTTCTTGTCTGTTGGATTTGTGCCATCTGTCTCGAGGATGATGGGTACGCAGGAGGAGGAATTGAATGGAAAGGAGCTGTGGAGGATTAGAGTGGACTGGCTTGAAGATCACACCCTAACACATCCCAGACCCAACCCTCTGCGTCTTCTGACTAAGGGTGACAACAACGTCGCCGACGACACTGAGCTGTACGCGCGCGGCCAGTCGTTCCTCAACCGCGAAAAGGACGTCATCGGCAGCGTCTTTGGCTTCATCCCGTGGGTCGGCTACGTGACGATCCTGCTGAGCGAATACCCGTGGTTGAAGACGGTCATGCTGGGCTTGATGGGCTTGACGGTTGTGTTGCAGAGGGAGTAGAGAATGAGGAGAGGGTACAAGATGAGGAGGCATTTGGTCCACGGCATGGCTGTCTGAGGAGGGCAAGGGGGGTTGCTGGTTGGGCGTAAAGAGCTTTACACATGGGCCCTGGATTTGAAAAAGTATTTTTGAACGCATTAGAGGAGGAAGGCGACGAAAAGACCCGTCCGCCACTGTTATAGGACTGAAGGGCAGACAAACATCCAAATGGAGTACCTTCAAACTCCTCAAGATTTCCTTTCTCTCCCCGCTGGCAGGGACTTTGCCATTCTACGCAACATGGAAAAGAGTAATGCATGCGTAGTTCTCGTTTCATACCCATATGTCTCTACTTACACGCTGATCCACCTCAGCTCGCAGTCCTCAAGCCCTCACTTTCCCCACACGTCCAAAACAACAACCCATACAAACACGATCATCGTCCCCAAACAAACAATCAATCAGAAAATAAAAAAAAAGGATATGCGGAAGGCAAGATTCGAACTATAGAACTTGGTCAGCCGGGCCCCATCACCTCCATTACCCCAAAGGGAAGGCGCTTACCTCGCGGTTTCTGCTTGTCATTTTTCGGCTTGGCCGGCGAAAACCAAGTTGATGGGAAAGCAGCGCCTTAACCACTAGGCCACTCCCGCCGCTTGTCGTTTTTGTTGGAAAGGAAGCGGGCGTTTGGGGGTTATATTTGGTGGGTTGGGAGTGGGTGAGTTGTAGGACTTTTGCGAGAGAGGGCACCTAGGGAGGAGGGATTGGCTTGTGTGGAGGTATGATTGCGCGTTTGATGGTGTCAAGTTGTCAGGAGGTGGAGGTTTCGTGGACACGGCTTTTGCAGGTGTGCGTGTTGGATGGCGGATACATGCATACTGGCGAGTGGTCAGGGGGAGTGTCAAGATTTCGCTGGCAACACTTCTTTGCCGGCTAGCGAGCTACGCGTGGGAATCATACCAGCGAGCGGTCAGGTGTTTACGTATCCTTTCACGCAAATCATCACCCGTAGGTAGGTAGAAGGAAGCTCGGCTACATGCTGGGGACGCTGTAGGTATCTTCCGAGATAAGAAGAAGACAGGGGGCAGGAGATAGGGGAGCGTACTTTGCTCAGTGACGTTGTTCGTTGTTAGCCTCTAGATTCTACCTGCAATGAGCACCCTTGCTATCACCAGCAGACAATGTAGCGAGCGGAAATGGAGAGCCGGTGAGGTGTTTGTGTATGATTTGAGAGGAGTTTGGTGGTAAAGAAGCTACAGCATGTATGCTGATGCAGTGTCACTTCTGCCCTCTCCCGATGACATGCATACTTCACGTCTGTTCTATGCCACTTTCGACGTGGCGTCAAGACAACCGAGAATACCAAAGATCCAGTCGGGCACCACCGACTCAGCCTAAGGACAAAATAACCATGCATCAATGCGCCTGCTGTGCTGAACGCTCCGAAAGGTATCTTCGGCAAAGACCCACTCCGCAACTCCAAAAGTATCAGCATCACCATCCTTCAATTTGGAACTCAACTTTCTGGTCGCCTTCGCCCCTCGGGATGGGTCTGCTTTGTGCGTCAAACAATGATCTTTCGACAAACGTGACGTTACCGTTGCGATCGACTAGCACGAGTGACTGTCGCTGTGTGCCGTAGATACCACTTGATGCGGTCGTGGCCGTCTCATCCCCATTCTTTGCAAAAGAAATCTCGTCCGTCGGCTTAGCCACGACGCCATCGCCCTCGCGACCAATGTCTGGGATGAAGATACTGTTGCGCAGTTGGCGTAGATAGACCTCCCACGTTTCGCCGGACCGATGCTTGGGCAAGCTGTCTTGGCTGAGTACATCAAAGAGGCGCTCGAGCAGCTGATCGCGCGTCTCGCCCGCAGCCACGCTGGCCTCCACGGCGGCTTTGGTGGCTTCCTCGCCTCGCACAATCTTGGGCCAGGAGTTGTCGCCGTAATGCGAATTGCTGAGGGCGTGCGTCTCACCCGGCTCGCCGGCGACCCAAATCAAGCCATGGACGTCGGGCGTGCGGTTTGAAAGGATGGCGAGGCCCTTGCGATGCTTCGGGTCATTGGTAGAGGCGCCGTTGACATGGGCGTCATGTTGACGTCTCGGAACAACGTCCTGGAGGCGACCGTAAAGCAAACTGAAGCCGCCCACGCCCTTGACCTGCTCTTCATCGACCAATCGCTGAGCAAAGTCGGCGGTTGACTCGGTCGAGTGGGGCGGTAGCTTCAACCACGCATTGGGAATGGCGCCGCGGCTCTTTTCCTCGCAAATGACAACGCCCTCCTCGCGGAAGTTGGTCAGGACGGCCAGACGGCCCTGGCGGGTGATTCCCAACCAGGTGCCGTGGATGGGGCGGTGCAGGTCGTAGCCACCCAGAACGTGGTCATGTGGAGGCGCCCACCATTGAGCCGGGGCGGTGGGGCGGCGAAGGTACTCCTGCATTCCGTCAGAACGAGAGTCGAGGGGCTGGAGAGGGAGTGGACGCACGTCGCGGTTGTTTAAGAGGATAAAGGGGTAGTCTGGATGTGCGGTCGTCACAATGGCGATACACATTACGGAATGGGAACCGATGTAGTCGGGTGGTGTAGAGCTAGTGTGCCTGGTGACCTTGGGCGTTGGACAGGGACCGTGGGAAGACGGCGCCAAAAAAGAACGAGGTCAAAGGATTATAAAGGAGAGTGAGCGGCGTCGTGGTCAGACCCTCACATGAGCAGCTTGAACATGTAGGCAGGCAGGTAGGTAGGCAGCAGACTGGAGTGAGAGGAGGGAGTTGTTGGCATCGGATTGCTCGTGACGTGGAAACACCTCGGGCTTTTTAACTGCTGCGGGCTGTAGCCGTGCAGCAAGACGGACATCGTGGTGCCACATGTGTGCAGGTGGTTGAGTGACAGACTGGCCTGTGGTTCTGGATGGTCAACCATGGTGAAAGAGCCGCAGGCGTCTGTTTGCCGTTATGGACCCAAAAATACACCTCATGGTCGTGGCAGGCACGCTATCCATCCTTGTTGAGACATGCGCCTAGCGTCGGCTGACTGGTGGGAGGATGGGAGTAGCACGGAACCGTCAGGTCAAGGGGTGGGGTGGGAGGGTGAATGAAGGATGGTAGAGGGGAAAAGCGAGTTGCAGTCGTCTTGAGCTCGCCATTGCCGTGGTGCAAAGGTTCATGTCCACCAGACATCAGTTCCGTCTGTTTGTCGTTGGTTATCGCAGCCGCGGTTATCGAGCAATCATGGCCCGTGCTGCAGCTGCAAGCGGGCGGTGAGCCCTGCACTGGAGACCTGTGGTGCCCATGATCGTCGAGCGGCACAATCGTCGTCACCTAAGGCCCAAGTAGGTAGCCTTCAGGCACTCAATCTTTGTCTACCTACCTACATGTACCTCTCCCTCCCTCCCTCCCTCCCTCCCATTCCTCCTCCTCTCCACCTCTTTCCGACTCTCCTCCCGACACCTCCCGCCCATCGCTGCTCGGGACCTTGCAATCATGTTTTTCGGAATATTCGACATCTTCCCCAATCTCCTCACGTACGTCTCCTGCACCTCTCGCCCAATCCTGCCCCTCATGCTCCTTGCCGCCTCAACTTCGATTCCCCAGAATCATTGAGACGATGCTGACGCAGCTCCAAACAGCACGGGTGTGTCCACCCTCTTCCCCATCTTTGCCTCCTACAAGGCCCTACGGACGCGCGACCCGGCCCAGCTGACGCCATGGCTTATGTACTGGGTTGTCTTCACCATCGCTCAAACGACCGAAGCCTACGCCGGCTGGGCCGTTGAATGGCTGCCATTTTACGCCTGGCTGCGCTTCGGCGCCTACTGCTACCTCGTAGCTCCAGGAGCAGAGGGCGCCCCGCACCTGTACACGACCTACGTGCACCCGTTCCTGGCCGAGCACGAAGCCGAGATCGACCGCTTCATCAGCGAGGCCCACGACAATGCCAAGCGCGCCGGCCTCAACTACCTCAAGCAGGCCATCGAGTTCCTGAAGGTCAACGTCCTGGGCCTGCAGCCCCGCGAGCCCACCCCGCCGCCCTCGCGCGCCGGCGCCGCCGGTGCCGCTGCCGGCTCCTACGCCCAGAGCCTCTTCTCCCGCTTCAACCTGCCCGCCGCTCGCGACGGGCTCGCCGCCCCGGCCGGCGACTTTTACGGATTGGTGGCCGGCGCCTTGCAGGGCGCGGCGGCGTGGCAAAAGTCTGGCAGCAGTGCGCGCGGCGATGGGCCCGAGGCGCTGATCCCGGAAGAGCTGTCGCGCAGTTCGCCTGAAGAACGCCTGTCGTACATTTCGTCCAAGCGCGACCAGCTGCGCATGCTGATGCAGGCGTTCGACCGCGAGGCCGACCACCTGTCGTCGAGCACCAGCGAGAACCGGACGCCTGGCGAGTTCCGCGAGAGCGGCGAGGGCTTTCTGTCTAAGAGCAAGAGTGAATTGGAGTTTGATCGCGTTGAGTATGACGAGGCCATGGGCGAGGACAACCACCACGGACAACAACATCAGCAGGGCAAGATGGGTCAACGGACCGCAAGCGGCGGGTGGATGCCGTGGCAGTGGGGCAGCAGTGGTGCAGCAGGTCAAGGCAGCGGGTCTACCAGCAGGGAGCGCTCACGCGAGGACAGAGCCAGGTCCAGTGGCAACGACCTGGCGTACTGAGGCTGTCTTTCTCAACCAACTCTCAACGTTTATCACGACAATGGCGCACATACGGTTCTGGCTCTGTTTACTTTTTGGGCGGTTGGGTCTGACGGGAAGGGTGAATCTCCGGTATGGTCTGGCATGGAGACCTAGGATGGGCGGATGGCTGGTTTTGCTATTTGTTCTTCATCATGGCGTCACACAAGGCTCGGGACTGGAGGATCCAATGACTTGAACGATTCAAGCAAGGAGGAGAAACTGCCGCTTGGACAAGAGACGCTCGCTGCACCTACACACGTAGGTCGCCTCGTTGGCTAGCTGGCATGCACGCACGCACGCACACAACTAGAGCGCGTGCGAAGAAATGAGCCACACTCAACAACAACGACAGCGAGCGTCCCGGTTCACTCGGCTCTGCCCTGTTCACCACAGGCAGCAGACTTGGGTTGGACAGAAGGAAGGAAGAAGAAAGAGGAGGAATGCCCACACGGACGGATACTTAGGTAGGTAATTCAATCGACGAAACGCACGTCTTCACATCCATGCTCTTATCCACCCTTGCTATCTCTGCCATCATCCGTTGCTGCAAATGATTGATTAACTGATTGACCAACGTCATCCCGCACGCTCCTGCCGATCGTCGTGTTGAAGTAGAAAGAACTTAAGCCTGTTGGTCCTTTTTGATGGTGTAAAGTCCATACCATAAAGTGCTCAGTGTATGCCATGCTTTACAACAACAGCACAGCTTTGGATTCGCAAAACGCACGCGGAGAGGTGAAGTGAAAGAGATAGATGCATGCGTGCGGAGATGAGAGTACAATTTTTCCTGTCTGGTATTGGTCTTTTTTTTTTTTTTTTTTTTTTCCTTCCTTTCCAACTCTTTTTTGTTGGTCGTCGTACCTCAGACGGACGGAAGGCTACATCCATGTTACTGTACAAAAACCGGCTGCCCGCACCCACGCGTGTATGCAGGCCCGTAGATGAGGTATGAGGTCTGGCTTTGAGTGATGGGGATCATGTCTC